TTCGAGAAGGAGAATATTCAATTATAATCACTCATGGATAACAACGGCGGTCCAAGTAGTTTTCTCTTTTGAGTGAAAGAAACGTTGCCAATTTCACACATAAAATAATCGTATATTGGCCTTAGAGTAATGCTATCCTCCCTTGGTGATTTTCTATCGAACACAAATATTTACGATTTTTACAGTTATCGATTTCCTAAGGGTAGTTTTTTAAAAGTGGTGCTAAGAGAATTTATATAAAGTTGACTGTAGCGCAGTGGAGATGACATTAGCATGCCTTCAAGGATTTCACCCTTTCTTGATTGTCTCAAAAAAGTTACTGAGAAGAATGAAAAGTTCCCCCTTAGTTCTTGTTCAATTGCCAAAAATCTGATTGGTTGATATATATACACAATCATCACGCAATTTCGGTAGGACTTAAAATACAAAAAATATAATTTACCAGTGCGACCACGGGCAAACTTTTGAACCAAAAATCTTATACCTTCTGCACTTCTGCCCTTAAATAATTAAAAGAGGAATCACTCTGGAAACGGCCAGCTGCACGAAACCACCAATTGACTTTTCTAAATGTGCTAACTACCAAGGCGAGCGCACCTCCAGCTATCAAGATTATATTGTTAATTTGAAATATTCTTATTTGCCAACCACTCGTCCTCAATAATTCGCATAACAGAGCTGTATTTCCCGCCTACTCTAAGTATTTGTCGCGAAAATAAAGGCTATAAAAAAATTTTTTTTTCAAACCCGAACGACAATTTCAGTGTAGGCCTAAATGTTACACGTTCTTGATAAGTCCTTTTGGTAACCCACTTCTCAGAAAATTAATATTGCGTAATAAGTGAGACCCATCAAACTAGAAGGACATTTAATCTTTCCCCTTTCAAATACGTACTATACCGGTATGTCTGGACCAACTTGAGAAGAAGACCCAAGAATTTTATAAAAAAGCAGCTAGCGCTCTCCTTTATACCGCCTGGTAAATTAAAGTATGTTAAAGAGTGACTATCGTCAATCTTTATGGTCAAGGGGGCTTGGTCATTGTTTCTGGATATAAGCCCTCAGGGCTGCCTTTGTTACCTAAAAAAACTGTATTTATTTTTAAACTGTCTTTAATTCTTTACGGTGATTCAAGTGCAAGATTTTTTGTGGAATAGTAAAGTGGGCATCCTAATTACTTAATCTCTAACCACACTAAAATAAGAGGTTTTTTTTATTCCCGGTCTTTTAGAATCTACACACGTACCTCAAAGGGGCGCTTGGATGTATAATACTTTGCCATTACCGAATATATACCAACTAACTCATTTAAGCAAGTCAGCAGATCTCTCCTCATACCACTTTTTCGTGCTTTACAAAATAGGCCTTCCTAAATTTAGTTAACTGAAATATATACAAGGTATGCAGATTGAAAATAGATTATTAAAACTAATTAAAAAACCAGTTAAAAACAAATCAATAAACTGGCTCCATCCGCTCCTCAGACAATCTGATGGTTCGCAATAAGATTTCGATATTTTAAGCATATAACGGCTTCCGTTACAAAAACGAGCTACCACGTAAGGCAAGCTTATAGGAGGAGTTTAAAAATACTCTCAACTTAAGGTGACAAAACCGTTAACATAACGAGATTTTTACACACTCAAGGAATTTGGGAATCGAAAACGGATGAACTTTAAAATTCGAGAAAGCTTACATTCCACAGGCGTTTTGTCAAATCTCTGAGAAATCGCAGGAAATATTGTTTTCGTCCCTAAAGCACAGAGACCGATTGTGCCTATGACGACAAAGTTAGGGCGGCTGTTTTTCTTGTAGTTCAGTTCACTGCATAATCGCGTAAGAATTATGCGACCATTAATAGCTCTAATCACAATAAGAATCCTTGTAATAAACTTGTAAAAATACCTATACTGGTGAAGTTAGAGCTTTTATAAACCTTCTCGTACTAAAAGACCATCGGTACCACCCAATAATTTTTTTTTAATGTTCCGTAGAGCTCCTAAACGATTAGAACTGCAGCAGTTATAAGCAATTCCAAATTTTTGTATCCTTCCTAAATTCACAAAGGCTACCGCTCTATAAATCTTTTAGCATGCACTGGCAGAATAGCTGGAGCTTTGATACTTGAATTTTTGCGAAAGTTTGTGAAGAAGTATTCGTTGTACAATAGAGTTTCAGGGGTTACTCTACCACGCAGTGACTTTCACATCTTTGGGACACGTTTATTTATTTATTTATAGCACTAGCTTGCTACAGGATTGGTTACAATATTTGCTGCTTAACTATTTTCCCTCTATTAACAGAGGGTGCGGAACCACGGCCCCCTTACCGATTCATCGCATTATGAATGAGAAGAACGTGAGCTTTAGCTACATTAATAAAGACATAATAGCAAATTAATAACAATATTACATGTAATAAAATATTTAAGTTTTAATATTGATATATTCTTAGAAAATATATATATATATAGGTTAATATAAAATATAATTAGCCCATTCCCCCTCCAAAAGATCTAGGAAATGTTTTGACCGCGAATATTTGGTGCCCAACGAAAGTCTTAATTAAATGCTGCCTAATTAGTGTGTTTAGTGACTACTGGCTATAGTAAGCGTTCCGTCAAATTTTACAGATATTCTGAATAATAAGCTTGAAATTACGCTCTCTATGTAATTGGCTGTTGCGCACAAACCTAGGGGTGTCCACTTCCATATTCAGAATGCGATTTTGTTGTATTTGTAGTCGATGTATATGCTTGCTTGAGGGGTAGGCCCAGACAATAGAGGCATAAACCATCAGCAGGCGCATAACCGATTTGTATAACAGAAGCTTGTTTTCTAAATACAGGTTGCTTTTCCTGCATAGTAAGGGATACAAAATGGCTATAGCTTGTCTATTTTTAGAGACGACGTAAGAAAGATGCGAAGTCTAGTTTAGTTTGTCGTCATGCATAACTTCGCGATATTAAACCTTCTTCCTTTTCGAGGGATGATAGTTTGGTTTAATGAGACCAAGGGTCGAGGGAAGTAACCTCCTTCTTTTATAATCTATTAACCTCCCCTCCATGTTGAAAATCAAGCCTCAAGTACTGTCAAATAAGACTGTGATTTTAAACACCAGTTAGGCAAATTTGGGACTATAAAATAAGGCTGTGCCATCAGTGTACTGGGCTAAGTTTATTTTTGACGATTGTGGCATATCGGACATGGAGATAGAAAAAAGTAAAGGGTATAGTAAGAAGCCTTGTGGTAACCATTTGTTATTATCTAATAGCGGTCTTTAACGAACTTATCCCAGCAGGAAGCCAGTTTTTAAGGTACTAAGTCTAACTTAAAATTCGGTGTTTGTTGACCCGATCGAGCACCAGGAGTTATAAAAAAAGTAAAATCCCTGGAAAGGTGCACGCCTCAGGGAGGCCCCCAACAGCACGCTAAAGCGGCATAGTTATTGTTTGCTGGCCTCTACAAACATTTATAAAATAATAAATAGCAGCAACGAATACAAACTACGCTTTATACTTAAAGTTTTTAGCAAAACTAAACAGTCTTCGCTTGATTTCACCGAGCATCTGCGCAAGTCTTTACAAAGGAAAATAGTGCGTGGCTCGTTGATTCTGTAACCGCGTTGGCAGTGCTCTCGGGAAAGTTGAAATACTGTTAACCAGCGATGTTTCTTTTTTCCTTTCACGAACGTTTTATTATGCGTACATTTTTCTACACTTTAATAGTTCATGAAGCTAATAGTTTGTAAAATCTATAATTGGCGAAAAAATTTTCGTGCGTATAAAACTAAAGTAAACTACGAACGAGCTATTGCCATTTTTTTGGTTTTTGCTTATCATAAGCATTTATTTAAAGATCAAACTTACTTTAAGAAAGTTTTTATTTGAAAATATTTAGCGCTTTAAAAAGTTTTAATTATGATTATCACAGAAAGTAGAAGAATCTTAACTAATTTACATTAATAAAGACTTTAAATATTTCTTCTTAACTTATGGTTAAAAAAATTTGGCATATGAATAAGAAATAAAGTATGGAAGTGTTACTTATACACCATCTTAATTAATGACTTAAATAATATTTTTTAGAAGAATTCTATTTTTCAATTTTATGGAGTTGGCCCAAAAGAGCACCAGAAAGTTTTAAACTAATTATGATACTTGCAAACAATAAAAAGAAGTCTTATTATTGCTAAATATGGGTTCGACTTATAAATTAGAATATGTTTTATAACAAAATCATATTAAGGATCTATTATAGTACCTGCAAATATTTAAAAAATACTAAATATTGTTATAATTGGGTTCCACCTTAAAATATAGATGTTATATAACAAAAATTTGCTAAGAAACTTAAAATAAACTTAATTTTACTATTATAAAAACAACTTTTTTTTAATTTTAAATAATTTTGACTTAAAAACATTAAAAAAAAGTTATTTAGCAAAATCTTGTTTAAATAATTATAATTTTATTTCTAATATTTTTCTTCACTATACTGAATGCATACTTACTTGAATAAGGCAATCTTATATAACTAAAGTGGCTGTCGTAGAGAGATAAATTTTTAAGAGAAGTGAAATAAGTCTTTTAAGGACTATCTTATTTTATATTGTAGAAACTTTAGCTTTTCTAAAAAAATTTTTTTTAAAAACGGTTTAAAAAATTAATTTAAACAAACATTAGCTTCACTAAAGGTCCTTTGAATGGCTTTTTAAAAGATTTTTTTAATAAGACGAACTTAAATTATTAGATTTGTAAGAACTTTAACTTTAAGAATATTCAATTATTTAATAAAAAAATTTTACAAATTTAATTTGATAAAATCCGATTAATTTAATTAATAACCGTTTCTTATTGCTTTTTGGCTGTAAATAGAATAAATTAATTTGAAAACTTTATTTTCGTTAAACATTTTAACAAATTATTTTAAATAATTTAATAAAAACGGGTATGTTTACTTTTATTTATTCTTGAATTTTAATAAACTACCAATAAATTTCTAAGAAAGATGAAAAGATTCCGAGCCTTCATACATCGCTATTAGCAACTTTTTTTGCATGACAGACTTTGATGAATAATCTAATTCAAATTATATATAAATTCTCACAAATACAATAATAAATAAATAAAAAGTTCAAGTTTGCTAACATAAAAATATTTATTATGAAAGTAATTTAATTAGCGTTACTTATTCTAAAACAAATCCTTTCGTAAACTTCTATAATTATAATAATAAGTGAAAATAGAATTTAAGTTTCTATTATTTATTTTTTACTAACATTATTATCAATAATTATAAAAAATTAATTATTATTGCTAATTATAATATTATTTGAAATAATTTAATTGAAATTGAATTAGAAATTTTAAAATTTACTTATGATATATAAAATAATACTTTACATATTAATAATACTTATAACAATATCAGTATAACTAATTAATATTTACTAAAATAAAATAAAAATTATTTTTTACTTTTAGCAATTATAATTTAAAATTTTTTCAAAATAATTCAATTTTATTATAGAATATATTAATTCTTAATTAAATAAAATTAAAGATATAAAAAATAAAATACAATAAACATTATTTCTTAAAATTATTTATTAAAAATTGAAATTTTTTTTTATAAATAAATTTTAAGTTATTTTATATAATTCTTTATTAATTTTTTTCTTATTGACTAAAAAATAAAATTCAAACAATAAAAATATAGAATGATTAATTATATTATATATAATTTTTAAAATTATTTATTATAAAATAATTTTTTTATAAAACTTTTAATTATAATATTTAAATTTCAAATTTATCGTAATAAACTTTATTAAATGCTATAAAAAAAATTAAACATATTAAAATATTTAATAAATATAATAAATATAATTTTTTTTAATATTATTTATTACAAAATAATATTTTTTCATAAAAAATTTAAATTAATTTTATTTTAACTTTCAAATTTGTTGTAATAAACTTTTTTATTGTTTACTATAAAATATAATTAAAGAATAAAATAAATATTATTTATTACTAATATTTATTACAAATTTAGTTATTTATTATAAAAAAATTTTTTGGTTAAGATCATTATAATTTAAGTTTAAAATTATTTTAATAAACTTTTTTATTAATAACTATAAAAAAATTATATAATATAAAAATAAATAATAAATTTATTAGTTTTACTATTATTTATTAAAAATTTAATTGTTTCCTTTATAAATTTTGGTCTAATTTACAATAATTTAATTTTTTTTTAATATTATAATAAACTTTTTTTGTAAACTATAAAAAATTATATAAAATATGAAAATAAATAATAAATAATAGAAATATTATTATTTACAATTATTATAAGAAATTGTATTAATAAAATTTTTTATATATAGATTTTGTGATTTTCCAATAAAAATAAAATTTAAAAATTAAGTTATAGAAGTTTTAAAAACTTAAAAAATTTTTTTTTATAATAAATAATAAAAAAATGTATATTTTAATAATCACAATAAATATTTTAATAATTTGCTATCACTTAATAAAATTTGTAGTAAATGAACTTCACATTTTTTAATTTAAAAATTTAATTATTATTATCATAAAAAAATAATAAAAATAAAAGAATTATAAAAAGTTTTACAAAATATAAGTTTTTTTTAGAAAAATATTTTAATATTTTATTATCACTTATTTGCATAAACTGGATTTATAATTGTTATAAAATATAAAATAAAATTATAAGAACTATAAAAAGTTTAACAGTAATAAAAAACCAAAAAGAAATAAATTATATAATATAAATTTAATAATTATTAATGACATTTACTTTATAAAAATTTATAAATTTCTATTTATATGTTTATTATTATTAATTAAAAAATAAAAGTAACTAAATAAAAAAAATTATTAAAGGTTTTCAATAATATATAATAATAAAAAAAAGTATATTACAAAAAAAAACTAAAAAGTATTTAAATAATTCACTATCACTTGTTAACTTTAGATTAACTGAATTATTTTTTTTTGATTGATAAATTTTATTATAAATTAAAAGCAAATAAATAAAAAGAATTATTAAAAGTTTTCAATATTATATAGGTAAAAAGTAAATTTTGTAAAAAATATATTAACATTTTTTTTATTATATTATCACAAAATTTTTACAATATTAACTTTTTAAGAACTATTACTAACAAAATAAAATTTAAAAAATAAAAAAATTATAAAGCTTTTAATAATAAAATATAAAAAAAAGTATTATCACTTATCAAATTTATATTCAAATCTTTAATTTGTTTAATATATATTTTTTATTATAATTACTTTTATAATAAAATTTGAAAAATATAAAAAAATTAAAAAAAAGTATAATTTATAATATATATTTTAATTTTTTTAAATTAACAAACTTCTATACTTTTTATAAATCACTTTAAAACTATTTATTATTTATTTTTTTTTAAAGTTTCCAAACTTTTATACTTTTAAAATTAACCTCTTATATGATTCATTATACAATAAATTTAAAAATATTGAAGTTTTCAATAATAAAAACCATAAAAAAAATATTATTAGTAAATGACAATAAAATAATTTAAATTTTATTTATACTTATATTTTTTTTTCTTATTAACAATAATTTAAAAATTTTTTAAAAAATTATTTCATATAAACTTTACCAGTTTATATTTAACAAAGTTAATTATAATTTAATAATATATCAAAATATTATTAATTCCTTGTTGATTAAAAAATTAATTTAATTGTATACAAAAAAATAGTATTCATATTTTATCAGTTTTGATTAAATAGTAGTATTAAAGTTTTGTTTAATTAATATATTTTTATAATAATATAGTGAATTTCAAAGAATAAAATTGTTAAATATTTTTTTCCATTTACGAGATTATTATTATTTTATAAGTTTTTGTATAAATTTTATTATTAATTTATATTTTATTATTACTAAAACTTATTTATTATTTTGATTTCTTTATTTTATAATTTTAATAGTATTATTATTATATTTAGTTTGGTCTGTATATTTTGTACAATATTATAATTATTTATAAATTTTATTAATTTATAACTTTATATAAGTATTACTATTATATATATTCTGTAAATTTTATAATTTTAGTATAACTTTTTCTTAAAAGTTTTTACTTTTTAGTATCCATTTTTGTGATTATTTATATTTTCTAAAATTTACTTTTATTTATTATAAAAAAAGTTTTTTAGTTATTTTTTTTGTAAGATTATTATTATTATTATTTAATTTCGTAAGTTGTACTTTTCTTTATTAAAAAGTTATTTATCATTTTTTTTTAAAAGTTTTTATTGTTACTATTTATGTTAAGTTGCACTCTTTTTTAATGAAAGTTATTTATTATTTTTGATTTTCATTATTATTATTTATATATCGTAAGATGTACTTTATTTTTACTAAAAGTTTTTTATATTTTTTGTAAGCTCTCATTATTATTTATATTTTGTAAATTTCATAATATTTAAACCTGGAAGTTTGAGGTAATTCACGCAAGTCATCACGCTTGGCAAATAATCATCAGCAGAAGTTTCGACAACTTTTTTAACGATTGTTAAAGGTGGGCTCAAACTTTTCAGCCCTAAAAAAAATATTTGCAACACAAAATATTTATTATCATAGAAAATTATGGTCAAAAAATTTTTTTCCTCTGAATTATTATTAATTAAAATTTATATATGAAACTTACCTCAAGAAATAAAATTGAAATCTAGTTAATTTTAGATAGTAATAAAAAGAATACCGAATAGAATAATCTTTTAACAATTAGAATAATATAATTTATATTTAACTTTACTTAAAATTATTTACCGTAAAAGATTTTTTTCACTTAAATTATTATTAACAAAAATTTATATATAAAAATTATCTAATTAAAATTTTTAAATTATATAAGATTCGATGATACTTAATAGAAAAAAAAATGAAGTAGTGTATTTTTTTTTAAAAAAAAATTACTAAATAGAAAAACTTTTAACAATTATAATTATATAATTTATATAAAATAATTTAAAGAAAATTTTTTTTCATTTAAGTTATAAATAATAAAATATGTAAAAATTACTTTAAATTTTAGAATTATTTAATTAAATGATACTTAAGAAAAAAATGGAAGAAAAGTTAATAGAAAATCTTACAAAAAATAGAATTATAATTTATATAAAATTATTTAAGGAATCCTTTTCTTTCATCTTAATTATTATTAATAAAAATTTGTGTACAAAAATTACTTCAAATTAATTTTTTTAAAAATTAATAAATAGAAATTCTTACAACTATTATAATTATTTTATTTATATAGAATTTTACTCAAAATTCATTACTGTAATTTTTATTATGCATCCAAATTATTTTAATAATTACTTTATGAAAATATTAAAGTTATGTAAGATTCGATGATACTTGAGAAAATTTGAAAAAGTTATTAAGTAGAAAACTTACAACAATTAATATTATAGAATTTATATAAAAATTTACCCAAAAGTAAAATTCTTATGTGAAAATCTCGTAAACAAAAAAGTTATAATTAATTAATAATTTAAATTAAAATTTATTTTTAAAAATTTATTGTAAATTCATAAATTTCATATAATTTTCAGTTTACAAAAATAGTGGATAAAAATTCTTTACAACAATTAAGAATAATAAAAAATAGTTAATTAACAATCACGACCATAAAATTTACCAACTGCTTAACAAATCTTGTAACATTTTTTTGAAAATTTTAAATTATAAGATATTAAAAAGTAAATTTTATACTAATAAAAAGTAGTTATATATAAAAACGAGAACAAGTAATTCTCTTAACCAAATAAATCTTGAACTCAACAACAAAAAATGCATAATTACGAACTACTTAGATATAAATAGTCTAAAACCAGCAAAATTATAAATAAAAAAATTATTATAACTTCATAAAAATGACTTTTATATAAACAATTATAAAAAAATTCAGCAAATCCATAAATCGTTTAAAAAATTATTATCATATCATAAAACCACTTTTATATATACAACAATAAAAAAATTCAGCAAATCAATAGATTTATAATGGATAAATTTGTTATAATTCCAATCTTCATTCAACAAAATTAATGAATTCATAATAAAAAAATTATAAAACCTCCAGAAGGAAGTCGCGGGCTTCCAGTAAGAAACTTTAGAAGTTGCCGTCGTTGAAGCGAATCAAAAGAAGAAATTATAGAAATAAAATTTTCAACACTCGCACTAAAATTTAGTGAATCAAAAAGTTTTTTTAATGAAGTAAATAATAATAAATAAACAAGTATATAATTATTAATAAACCTTTGGAAAGTGTAGCCGTGCGCAGGTTGAATCGAAGAAATAATCGCTAATTATTTAAGAAATGTGAATGCAGAAAAAAATTTAATGTATACTTTTCAAAAAAAAAGTAAAAGTTATAATAGTTATAATTACTTACTGGAAAAAAAAAAACTTTTATATAATATTAATAGATTTTCAAAAAAAATAAGAACTAATAAATTTATATTTTTTTCTTATAAAAATTTACAAGTAATTATAAATAGACGAAAGACTTTGTATATAAAACAATTATATACAAATTTATATCTAAAATTACTTTCAGAATCCCATTGATCTTCCACACCGCATAAAAGAGTATTAATTTCTTTATGGATATTTATATAAAGTATAAGGAATAATAATAACTATAATAATAATAAATGCCTTCAGGAGTAAAACTTTGCAAAACTTTTATGCTGCAAACTTTATTCCAACCACTCACAAACGCTTGAATTTGTTGAGTACACCCAACAAAGAAAGTATAATGAGCTACAGAAAAAATATATTCTTCAAGTTCTTTTCCACTAACAAATTCATTACTAGTCTTAATTATAATAAATAATAATAATGATAATAATAATTATTATTATAAACAAACTTTCATAATAACGTCGGCATGACCAGGATAAGACCAAGAAATACTCATATTTTCTACGTGTTGATCGACTTCCGCTAATTTTATAATGTTGTCTTCCTTTTCAACAACAACACAATAATAATAATAATTACTATTATTATTATAATATGCTTTTTAATAATGATATACTTTTTCATAAAACTTCCGTTCATCAACGATCTGCTGTAGCGCTTTGAGTGAAGTAAAAAGTCGATAGTCAATATCCTTTAAAGAATGTGAAAATAAAAAATTTAATATAATAAATAAATAAAAAATAAAAAAATAATGAGAAAAATAATAATACCGCTAAACTGGCCACACACAGTTGGGCTATTTGGTCCTTTCCGCCAATAGAAAGAAGCCAAAAAACAGGGCTAAAGAGAATATCCACTGCAGGAATTAGTGTAAAAGAACCAATTAGCACAGCCCAAGTAAGCATAGTCACCAATCGTAGAAATAATTATTGTTTAAATAGTTAGAGATTTGTATTATTTATATACCCTCGTTTCTCTGTTTTATTATAAATATAATAATTATTATTATAAGATAAAGCTTTGAAAGATTATTATTATCAAAAAGTAAATACACAAAAATAAAAAAGACTCGGTGCTGCTGTAATATAAAAAATTGAAATAAAAAAGTACCCAAACGCTGATCGGCCAACGCTTTAGCACAAAAGGTTCCCAAAGAAGAAAAGTACTTCAAAACTTTATCTATTAAAGTAAATTTCATTATGAGTTTTATAAAATATTCGTATTATTCTTATATAGAAAAAAAATCAATATAAAAAAAAAAATTGATATACTTCAATAAAAGTTATAATAATATATTTTACTAATAAAACCATAAATAAAAAATAACATTTTCTCGTATAGTTTGCATTCTCGAGGCCCACTGGACAGTTTTTTTAACTTATATATTATTGATGGTTTATTAACCAATAAAAAAAGTTTTTTGTGTCACTATTATAAAGCTTTGCCTCATATATTTTTATAAGAAAAGTGTAAATATTTTTCTGTAAGCTTTAATAAAAGCTTTTAAAAAATGAAATAATAAGAAAAAATATATATTTTTTCTTAAAAAATAAACATTTTTGCTTATGAATTTCTATAGGTATATATTTTAGTATAAATATATTATTTAATAATAATAACAGAGTTTTATTACCGGAAGGATCCGTAGTAAATTTCGGGAACAAACCAGCCAAGAAAGTTACATATTTTGAAGAGTGCAAAGGTTCATGATAAGTGTCCTTCCACCTAAAATAATAATAATGATAATAATGATAATAATAATAGAAATAATAATTACATTTACGAGAATAATAGCATTATTTAGTATATCTGCTATAAGTAACTTGTACTATTTCTTTTTACTTTTATTATGTTTTTAGTACATTTTTTGATAAAAGGTTTACCAATAAAACTTCTACTAATGCTAATTCATAATATAATAATTGTTTTATAAAAAATTCTATGTCCACTATTTATTAATAAATTGCTCTAATTATTGTATTATTTATTACTAGATTATTGTAAATATTTTCTATATATAATAAGAATAAAAAAATAATAAAAATGAAAAAAATTATAATACACTAAAAATATATAAAAAACTTAATAATAATATAAAAAGCTTAATAAAAAAATAATAATGAAAATAAAACATACTGTAACAAAAAGATTTATTATAAAATAAAAAGTTCTTTATCAAATAAGAAAATAATAATAAATAAATAAATATGAAACTACGATACTAACAATAGTAGTTTATAAATTTATTAACGAAGTAAAAAAAAAATTATTCTATTTGTATGTAAAACGTTTATGGTACAAACCACATGTTCAGATCGCGCCTTTTAAACTCGTTCGAGCAAAGCGTAAAAAACTCCAAAGTGGGGCCCAAACCGCTTCCAACCTGCCAAAAAAGCCAGGTTAATAGCAATAAATAAACGCTTATTATTGGTAGATGAATGAAGACCTCATTTAAAAAATCGATTTCGAGACTTGTTTTCGAATCAAAATGCTCTTCCACAATTTTCATGAAGCTCTCAAAAACCCGCTCCCGCTCAATCTTAATTTTGATCCGCTTGAGCGAGAATGAGCGCAAAAAGGTGCTGCCTACCGATTGACCGGCGTATTGACTTTTCTAACCGTCAATGACTCAATGAAGAATTCAAATTTAAAAAAAAATAGTGAATACCGCTAAGTAGTTAAGCCCTCGAAACCCACCAAACGCTGTGACCCTCATGAAGAGAACACGTGATTCAAAAGTAAACAGAAAAGGAAACTTTTCCGCAGCTTCATAGCACCACGTGGGTATATTGCAGCTGGCCACAGTGGGGAGGTCCTAAGATGGCAGTAAGACGCCCAATCAGTGGTACGCACAAAATATAATAAACGGACCTGCAACTGAGAAACAAGTTTTGAGCTCAGTTTTACAGTAATAAAAGAATTTAAGGAAAGGCAAGAGCGCCAAGCGGGGAGCTTATTATTAAAAAGCCACCAATCCCTATAGAGAATTATGAAAAACAACCAACCAGAATAAGTTTGCGGCACCTGTTCAAAATATACAACAATTTAAGAAGCGTAAAAATCTGATTGGGCAGATCGCACATGCATCTTAGCGTCCCAAGATACTCAAAAATACTGAAAAAATTGGATCTATCCATGATGGCGGTTATTTCTGTAGTGCACGTGTGAACTGTATTGAAAAAGGGACTATTAATAAATAAGCACGTTCTTCCGGAAAACTCTTGTCCCGTGGCACGTGTTGATACTCCAAACTAACATGTGACTTGATCACGTGTTTGCTTTGCTTTAAAACAAACTAAAAAAGTTAAAATATTATAAGCAAATCATTTTATTTATGTAATAATAATAAAAGACAAACTTTAAACACAGTATCCTTCGAAGACAATCTTTCCCCATTGAAGAAAAAAAAAACACGCCCCTGGGGAGCAGAAGATGATTGGCGGTAAACACTGGTCGTTCTCGGATGGATGAGCGGGAGAAAAGAATCGCGAACTTTCCTGTTCCGCTTGGCGGGGAGTCGGGGGGAAGGCTGCGGCTGCTGCTCTTGCTTAGTGAAGTCGACAGTCAGTTCTTCATTATTTTCGCTGTCTGTATGATAAAAACAATAATAATGATGTTGATGATAATAAAGATAAGAAAACCGATGATTGGCTCTGATAATTTTTCTTTACTAGCATCAGCGCTCTCTATAATTATAAAACATTAAAAATAGTGAATAGTTATAATAATTTAAAAAAAAAGTACACCTTTATATCCATTGGCTGCTGCCGAAAGAAGTCGTATCGACATGGGCTCCTCAGTGGAAGATGAAGACACCGCCTCTTTAGGTTCTGCAAGAATAATAATAAAAACAGTAATAATGAGTCACAAGGAAGAACCTAATTTTCTTAAAATATAAGCCTCAATAGCTTCAAGGGAAGAAACGGGATCAGCATAGACAACCATCGTATAATTCTTGGAATACCATTGGTTGTAACCGTCAGCAAAGATTCATTAAAAAAGACAATGAAATGCCTTATCGGTGGAATCAATGTCAAGAGGGCGCAAGGAAACCCGCACAGGGGCAGTAAGCACGTGAAAGAGTGCCTCCTGGTCAGACACGAGGGGTCTCTTTCTATCTGGTCGGGCGCTGCCTGGAGATTAGCATAACGGGTGCAAAGTGGGACCAAGAGGAAGGCACAGAGAGGGACGACCTTTCCTTATAAAAGTGTCAAGTGTAACACGTGGGAACTGTTCAGTGCGATGAAGTACTTCGTGGAGTTTGGCAGTTAGTGCTGGTAGCGCTGAATAAATAATGGTAGTCATAACAATCATAAGATGGAAACCTCCATATTCCGGTGTAGACAAGAAAACAGCTGAAAACTTTTTTATATTTCCGATACGTTTTTCATTATCTAATACACGTGAAGTTTTACTTCCCATGATGGTTCTTAAAATTTTGAAAATGTCACCTTTTGTAGTGAGTAAACGGAGAAGGACAGGAACAAGGTTGCTATCAATAAGCTCAAACGAAGACACTGAACTTATCAAGTTTCTTGTAATAAATATTACGGAAGTAATAATAATAATAATAATAATAATAATAATAATAATAATAATAATAATAATAATAACTTTAAATCAGTCAAAGCACATGAGAGGGAAGACGGGTCGGACAAGTGTCTTACAACCTCAGCAAGGGCAGCGCGGTGGCAGTCGGCCACCAGATTCGAAAAATAAGTAGCGTGCGTCTCCTTGAAGAAAAATGTGCATTCATTAAGTATATAAACACCAAAATTGTTCACAAAGAACCTTTGCGGCAGCATTGACCCACTTTTCCGTGGACTTTAGTTGCTGCTTGTCATTGGTCCTCACTAGAAAATGGAACCACTCAGACTTGAACCGAAGTTTCTTTAACGCATAAATCTCTTGAGGGACACCCTCGTGTCTGCAGAATACACGTGGAAGTGGTTATACTGTTTTACGAGGAAAGCAAGCTTAATGGTAGACGCACATAAATTTGTCTATGCTGTCGGACTTGGACAGAAGAACGTGAGTCATGAGTAGTCCAATCGCTATATAGCGAGCATCCTGCCGATTGGCTAAAAGGGTGGAGGTAAACGCTATCAAATCAGGCGAGGATGTAGCAGAATTGAGACTTTTTAATTATAAAATGATACAAATAAACCCTAAAGGCATCCCATGTGTGTATAAATAGATACGCTGAGCAACAAATAAGGGACGATGCCGAGTCGAGGCAGCAAAGCTTTAGTAAAGTGAGAAGACACTGAACTTTGAGGGCGGGAGACACTGCCGTCTCAAATAAGTCATACGCCAATGGAAGAGCTTCTATCGCGCATGAAAATTAGTGAAAAGCTGCAACAACACACCCAAAACGGCACCTTTCAAGCAATAGGAGACGCATGCGCCTTGTACAACGATATCCTCCCCTTCACGTGGCCTTGTCTGGCAAAATAAAGGGCATTGCTGTAAAAGGCCAGCCCCCGGAAGAAGTTCATTGAACAAGCCAAGAAGCGCATGGAGGTAGGTCGCGTGGGAGACATCGCTGGAGCTTTGTAATTGGTGCCGGGCCAGCTGGAGAAGACCAATCAAAGTTTCCAAGTGGGAATTCCCGGATAAAAAAAGAGACTTTGGTCTGTTCGACCCTAAACAGCCAATAAAAAAAGTAGATTTAAAAAGACTTAAAAAAGGAAAAAAGTTTGCCTCTACAGAGAATCGCTAGACTCTGAGCGCAAAAGAGGCGGATATCAGCAGAGTGGCCATCCAAAGAGTCGACGGAGTCTGGCAAATAATAAATACGCACACAAAAAATATTCTAATTTTTTTATAAAGATCAAACTCTGCTCCAATAGCGCAAGCAGGGTCGTCGCGCAACCGGCCGAGAATAAAACATCTAGTTTTTCTTCGTCCGAATTAAATTGGCTAATCAATCTAAAGAAGCATAAACTCACTTCTTTTATATATAAAAAAGAGATTTTACTATAAAAAATTAAAAAGTTGAAATTAACTTTAAATACTTACTTTGCGCCATAATTTTATTGCTGCTGTCCAGCAACTGCGTCAAGGCTGGCATAATTTCAAGTAACGTGTTAAAGTGATTCTAAATTTACAGGTAAAATGAAAAATAAAATTGTAATCAAATCTTGCTACTTATGAAAAATAATTTGAATTTCAAAGATCTGAAAATCCATATAAATAAAATAAATTTCAAAGTTAGTGACTACCTCAGGAAAACCTTTGCAAACGCTGGTTACTATTTCAATAATTATAATCTGTAAATTCGAATCAAAAAAGTCAATAAAGTTGATCATAGCTTGAATGCATCCACAAGACAAAAGTTCTTCGCTGGTAATTAAGTTAATTAGGTTAAAATTTTTGTGCCGTAAAAAAAAACTGAAAAGAATTTGATCTATAAGGAAACCTAGTTTTTATAATAAATTTAAATTTAAACAAAAAGTGGGCTTGATGTAAATCTTATTATTTAAAAATATACATAATGCCTTTATTACGTAAATTAATTTATTACAAATATGAACTTAATAATAATAAATTTAAAAAAAGTTAACGTAAATCTAGGTTATATAGAATATAAATAATACTGTTAATTACGCAAACTAAATTAATTATAGATTCTGGATTGATAGTAAATTAAAATTCAAAAAACTGGCTGAACGTAAAACTAAATTATTTAAAATAATTTAATAAAAATTAATTATTTTAATTTTTTAATAATTTAATTTTAAAATAAAGAAACCTAAAACTGCCTTCGTTAGCAATCTTATGAAAAGCAGTGATGGATTCTTCAGCAACATCAATGAAGCTAATGGCCAATAATTTATCTCCTAATCTAATAAAATTAATAATTTTAATTAATTTAGCTTATAAAAATTTCTTTTTAGACATTTTTAGCACAGATCCATCGGAAAATGAAACAATCTTGCTGATCAAGGAAGGAGAGACTTCCATAACATAGCAAAGTGCTCTAATGGCCTTTAATGTTATTTCTGGAGATTCTTCTTCGCTTAATATTTCCTTTTTTTTACGTTATATTATTGTAAATCAAAAAAAAAGATAGAAAAATGGTCTGAACTATAAATACTAGAAGAAAATCATTTAAAGGGAAGTTCAGTAATGTATCCTCGGTGGCCATGGATAAATATTCACATAACTGGGACAAAGAATTTATCCGAAGTTCTAAAAAAAATATTACTTCTTTTCTTTTAGTAATATAAAAAAACGAGAAAATACCAGAATCATTAGAGTCTTTTAAAGTCTTAATTATTTTCTCTAATTCTCCTCCGTTAGATACGAAATGAAAACCAAAAGAACTTCTAAAATTTAGAATAATTACACGTTAAACTTCATTAAAAAAATATAATGGAGATATTAAAGAATCAATTACAAGGGTGCCGACCCGTTTCCCTCAGCTAAATCAGAAGAAAGTTGTATAAGTAAATCTTGTAAAGGATTTCCAGAGAATCTGTTTCTTGTGTTCTCTCCGCTTCTTGAACCCAAAATGAGAGAAGCAAGATCAGATAAAGCTATTGAGGATTCAGATGAACTTGAATTTCTTGAGTCGGGCTGCACAGAATTCTCACGCTCAGAATTTTTTTCTTTTCTTGTAGGAGAGGAGGCATCTTCGTCGTTGTTAGCCATTGTATACCGAGATTATTATTTTATATGGGATAACAAAAAACATAAAAGGTTTTAAAACTAAATAAACTCACAGTTAATATGTTTAATAAGAATTAAAGAAACAATATAGGACCAAGGAGAACAGTTTGGAAATCAAAGCAAATCAGGAACTCTACGATACCCGTGACCCTCTTGTTACTATATTTAAACAAAACCTACCCATTACTAAAACTTAGTTTTGTTATATTATATATAATTTCGTTTTTTACTAACATTATTTAAATAAATATTATTATTATTGTTATTATAATTTTTTAATTATTATTATCATTAAGCAAAGTGTCTTTTTCCCTTAACTGCGTAAATATTTTTTGTTTTAGCAGTTTACTTTCTTTTAAACAGTGAGGTTTATCGTCCAAATTCGCTTTAGTTATAAAACTGTACTCCTCTTTTGTAAGGCTTGAAGTTCCTAGCTATTTAAGTTAGCCATAGTACATATATACTTCGGAGTAGGATTTCTTATCTATGTAAAGATCTTTTATTTTTTTTTTTAAAGATTGAATATTTAAACAGGGAGGCTTAAAGCCTAAATTTACTTCTTTTTTTTATAAAGCGCGTACTTTTCTACTATAAAGCCTAAAGTTCATAGCTAGTTAGCCAACGTACCAAAAATATCGGTGGAGGGATATCTCTTTAAAGTGGAACCTAAAATCTTTAAGCAGGTTTTTTCTAATAGTAAGACTTATCGCTTTACTTCTCTACTATAAAGCCTAAAGTTTAGAGCTCTTTAGTTAGTTGTCGCTCCGTCAAGAAACTTATTTTTAGATTTGTTGGACAGAATAACTTTTTAAATATTTTGCTAAACAAAGTACATAGCGTGCTAAGAAAGCTTCAAAACATTTATAACATACTTAAAGCTGTACAATTACTCTAAAATTCCAAAAAAAACAATTTTTTTTTAAAATTTAGTTAACACTATTTAATGTAATATTATATGCTAAATAAAAATCTTTGCTGTACTAGAAAAGTGATCACAAATAAGTATATATTTATAATAGTCGTTACAATTAAGGGCTTAAAACTATTAGGTTAAAAAAATAAACAAATAAATAAAATAATTGAAATTTGTAACGGGACTTATATTGTTTTTATCTAAATATCGAAATTTAAAAGAAAGTAATTTTTTTTTGTCCTCGATATACACGTTAACTCAAATAGTTATCAGAGAGCCTCATTAATTTAAATAACTAGTGAAGCTAATTATAAATAAGAGTTTGTTAGAATAGTTACTGTAATTGTTCAAAATTAAACCTTTTACTTAATAAAAAGTGTTTGATAGAAGCAAGTTATCATAAAAAGTCAACTTTTTTAAAAAGAAAATGCCACTCAAATTTTTTCGAATATAAATTTAACATTCAGTTTACAAAAGGTAAATTTAAACAAAGAAAACTGTTATCAACAGTATAAATATTGAAAACACGCTTTCATTTTATACTAATTAAAGTATTCTCTTTATCTCAATAACATATTATTACCATGTTATAAAATTTTTAACGAATTTAACTTAATTTACTATTTAAGTCTTCCGTAGCTACTAATAAAAAGGATAGCAGTTTTATTCCCCTAAAAAACATTTCAGATTCCATTCCGCAAAAAAAGAACAAAAATTTTAAATCGGTGTAACAAAAGTCACATGAATATTAGTATCCTAAAGTCAAACTATCTGTCGAAGGTATGAACTTCATATTTCCTTAGACAAAGTTTGTGATTATCTTCACAAGTTTTAATTAAGACCCCACACATAGTCACTCGAGCTACTGTAACGCTTTTAATAATGAAATTAATATAAAGAGAGGTAGCAAGCTAATAAAACCACTTTGCAACAGCACCCAAAGGACAATGACTTGAGAGGGGGGCGGTCAGTTAGTTCGTAGCATATAAAAATAGTAAACTACATAAGGTAATGTGCGTGTACTTAACCACCACGTGCCTCCTTGGTGGGCACAAGCAAAACACTAATTTTGTTTTTTTTTATGTATAGAGGGCTAGTTGTTATATATAGGTAATGGCCCGAACACGTCTTCTTTTTTTTATTTACTTTGAGGTTTTGGCTTTGCGTACTTACCGTGTTCAACCTTTAATAACTCTAAATTAAAATACCTTAAAGTCTATAATATACAACTTACCAAATTATATAATAATAGTTCATAAATAGACCAGTATCAAAGCCCTAATACCGGTGAATCAATATAAAAAAAACTCTAATTATGTTATAGATTTCGTAAACCTAGAATCTGATTATTTTAAACCTATAAGTTACTATTAACAATATCTACTAAGGAAGTGAGCGTATTTAACGCAGGTTGCGAAAAATACGCACTGAAAATTAAAAAACAAGAGAAAATTGCTTTAAAAGTGATCTCTATGTATACCGCTACAGATATAATGTTTTGTATCTTTCAAAAGAGTATTGCTTAGGAACCATAAAAAAAAAATTAATTTTCCCAGTTCGACTTTTTTGTAAAGCTTTACAGACCTTTAAAAATATATATTATTGTTATAAGGTTTTACTAAGCAGTTGCATAAACTTGACTGGCTTTTTTTCCTAAAGAAGGTTAGGTTAGTGACAACTGTGCACTATTTTCCACCATTATAAGAAATAATATATGTATATATAATATTTATTATAAAGAGTTTTCGGCACATTACACAGAGGTTACAAATTGAAAAGGTAAACAAATCACTCGAAAAGCTCTTAAAGTTACAGAATTCTGTCTTGTAAATATTAAATACCTTTTCAGTTCTGTGGCTATAGCTATAACAAAAATCCCCCTAGCGGTTCCTCGGGTGTTCTGTATATTAAGTATGTAATATTACTAATAATATTACCTAGTTTTGAAGCTTTTAATGCATGTGGAAGATTGTTTGGAATTTATAATTACCAAGAGCATATAACTTAGTAAAAGCTAATGTTGAAAAATTATATATGTAAGCTAGACATTTTTTGGTGCTAGAACGCTCAGCGACGAAATCCTCTGAAACAGTGGAGGTATTCGTGGATTCACTAGAAGCTCACTCATCCATGAGTTCATTATAATTTCTGCTATACTGCTCACCTTTTATAACCTAGCACAGGTTACAAGGTTAAACCTTTCGGGACTTAAAAATATAATTCACCCCCCCTAATGCAGAAAGCCTTGAATCCCACGGTTCTAATTCACTGCTTAAAAACTTTACTCCATTAGCTATCTCTCTAGGCTCAAGGTTAATTAACTAACCTACTTCCTCAGACGTTGTAAATTGGCAGGAGTTGAATTTATTCCAAAAACTAGGCTCCTAGCTGTTTTATAAAAGATTGTCTTTAAGTGGTTATTATGTCAAGATATGTGGAGAGTGTCAGTGTCTTGCCTATTTTTCAATTTGGTTTTGAAAAATTTCTCCACAAACCACCCACTACCAAAACTTAAGAAAGAAGCTCAAAAAGTTTTTAACAATAGAAAAGTAACAGGTGTGCTCTCTTAACCCCTTACAGGTCCCTGGTTATTACTTGTTTACCACTCGCCGCCTAGGTTCAATTTGCAAAAGGAGGTCTATGGAAACTGACCCTAAACGATAGACTCAGCCTCTAAAATAAATCTCTGGTAGGTTTGAGTACCATGTTCTAATGGATTAGGCAGCAAACAACAAAACATGAATAGTAAATTTAGTTACCAGTGAACGTAAAACAAATCTACTTTAAGCCCCAGAGTTTTGCCCTTTAAAGGGTTAAAATATTCAATAGATTTTTGATTATTACTGCCAGGTTTTCTTTTTACTTAACTGCGGTGGTACACCCCTACCTAACGAATAGAACCTTTTCTGCTGAAGTAACTTACCTGGTGTTCGTATTAGATTTTTATAGGCGAGTGTTTCCACAAGCCCTTTACTATTCCCTTTACTCATTTCTAGCTGCATGGTCGACATGCTACGATCGTCGAAAATAAACTTAGTCCACTGCTCTGAAGACACAGCCTTTTTTTATAGTTTCAAATCTGTCTGGCTGGTGTTTAAAAACACAGTCTTATATGACAGTACTTGAGGCAAGGTTTCCAACATGAAGCTTTATTATTAACGCGTCAGAAAGTAGCCTTATGATTATAATAAAAAAGGAGTCAGTTTCATGGTCTCATATTAAAGCAAATTGCCAATCCTCGAAGTAAAAATGTTAAATATCCCGGGGTTTGATGAGGACAAAGTTGGAAGTCTCATCTTTATTAGGTCGTTACTAAAATCAGGCAAGTCTAAATCGTTATATATCCCTTAATATGCAGGAATAGCAAATTACATCTAAAACAAGCTTATGTTATATAATCCCGTTGATTGTTAATACCTCCATGACCTGGGTTTATTCCTCAAGCAAACGTATTCATCGACTACAATTACTACTAAATTGCGTTCTGAAAATGGTGGTTGGGGACGCCCCTTGGTTTGTTCGCAACAGTCAACTACGTAAAGAGTGTAACCTCAAGCCTGTTCAAGCATATCTTTTAATATTTCACGAAACTGGTTTACTAGAGTCAGTATTCGCCACAAACTACTAATAAGACAGGAGATGTGCACCCAGTACTCGTAGCCAAAAAACATTTCTTAGTTCTATTAGAGGGGGGATATCGCTAAGCTTATTTTGTTAACTTGTCAATATACATTTTTAAATAATTTAACGGTATTAAAACTTAACTATTTCGTTACATGTAAAGTACTTATTACTTTGCTATTTCGCCTATATTGATATATGCTATTTAGCTATGATAAAGCGCATCCGTTCTTCTCATTGATGGTGCAATTAATTGTAAGAGAACTTATGGCTCCCGCGCTCTCAATTAATAGAGGAAAAGTATATTAAGCAGCTATTAATTATAAAGATGACTGTGGTAAATTAGTGCTTTAAATAAGAAAATGAAAATTAGCTAAATATATATTTTTTTTCGCGGACGCGTTTTGTTTTACGACTGCTTCGTAGCCTAGTAGCGTCGTTGGACTAGTGGAATATATAAAAATAATATATTGATTCCGTGTTAAATTATACTTATTATATTTCGGCCACTAATATGGATAGCGTTAATAGTGTACAGAATAACCAACTTCACTTTGTTAAGCTACTAAGCGCATTTATATGATGAATTACGACGGGAAAGACATATTGTATATATTAAGGCTATATGAAAAAAGGGTAAAAGAGTTTTGTCTACAGAGTACTGGTTATAATTTAGTAAATAAGTTTAATAACAAAATGTTTTAGGTTTTGGTGACAAAAAAACTCCTTTAAGCTCTTAAGTAAAGTTATTTTTAACTCAATAAAATAAAGGCTAGCAGGGCAAGTCGAACTCTTTTCTAGTAATTGCATACAAAAAACCGATAAAATATAATTGTTGTGAAGGCCCTTAACTATCTCACAAAAAAAAGAGCTCCGTATATAACTTTTCATGTGTCCGAACACATCTAGCTTTACATATATGCACTACTAGCCGTTTTTTTTTTAGCATTTCTTTTAGTGTTCCTCAGAGGGGGGAGTACTCTCGGCACACGCCGTCGCCTACCGAATCGTGTAGAGACTTCACATTCATGCTCAGCTACTACTTGTAGTTGTTATAAGAACCTTTCTTATTTACTTATTTTCCGCATGAATAAACTTATACTTAACTTCTTGAATTCAGTATTATAGCTTATCTCCTTAATGGCATTTTTTAGGGACTTTTGAGACCGCAACAATGTTTTTGATCTCTTTATCTTTCTACAATTTACAGTGAAGCGATCAATTACAGTTATCCGTTATTACTGTTCCTTTTTTTAGCTATCTGAAATTAAGTTTCTTAGTTTGAGAAAGTAGGGAGGTACTTTGGCGTGATGGGCAAAAAAGCTTGTGCATTTTTTTAATTTAAGTAGTCGGAGATTAAAGGTGATCAACTCTAAGACCTTTATTGTAAGCTCATGTTGAATACAAGCTTTTATAAAAGCTATTTTAGCTTATATTAGGAAGAGCCAAATATAACTCTAATTAAATTTGAAGCGTCTTAGTTTTTTAGGGGTATGAGAATAAGTGTATTGTTATAAGTTGTGAACCGCTTTAATTAAATAAAACTTCTGAAAGGTGTAGACTTTTCTCTCGGCGAAGAGGATCTCATAGATTAGGGCTAAAAAAAACTTTACGGCCTTATACGCAAGAAAAGAATGAGAAATTTTAAAAAAAGCGTTGTCTATATTTTCTAAAAGGACGAAGGTTTATATAAGGATGAAAGTGAAGTGGTTCGCTAACAAGGCAATGTGACCATGAAGCACCTCGAAGAGGGTTTACAACTGCCGGTGTGCAACAGGTAATAGGGCCAATAGAAAGCAATTTAGCTAGAAGGGACATGTAATGAAAGGCGGTCAAGATCATTATGAGACTTATGTAAGAGTAACTTAAGAGCGGTCTTCAAGTTATGGGAATTTTACAATGTAATCATGGACTGGGAACCTATACCCACTAGATGGGAGGTGGAAAGAAGATGCAATACTGAATTGAAATATATATGCGAGCCAGCGTTAAGCTAACGGGAAGGTAGAAAAAGTTATCCAAACTATAGGAAAAGGACTAGCTAAAAACAGTCATGAAAAGAAAATTAATTAAATGGAGCTACATATATTATAATTGTTTTAACAGGTGGCCTACAGTTTTTAAAATGAACACCTTTTATATCATGTCTAAAACGAGCATAGGTTTGAAAACTGAAAACTCAAACTCGTAAGAACTTTAGGATTAGCATAAAAAAGTAAGGCTACGTCGGACTTAAAAACTGATAGTACCAAGTAAAATATTGAAGAGAAAGTCGGTCCAGCAAATGTTCTAGAAGTTATAGGGTTTCACAATTGTATATAAGATGTATATGTAGATAATAAAAGATACGACGCGCGAAATAAAATGTGTAAACGAAAGGAATAATGTATAATAAATTTGTTTTTACCAAGATACAAAAACTTATCGTTTGTTTCTTTTAGTTAACCGTAAAATTTTTTTTTTAATAATTATAATTTGTAAATATAATTGGTTTACTTCATACTTAATTATTTTGTGTCATGTATTCTGGTTTTCCAAGTTAAAATTTTGTGTCTTCCTGTTTTTTTTATTTGAATCCATATTTTAGGGTATCTCTCTGTAGTATAAACAGAAGTGTGGGTTTCTGTAAATAAGAAAAGTCATATAATCTAGTTTCGTATAGTAGTTTTTCCTTTTTAGTTATTTGTTTCACTTATTGAAAGGAAATATCTACTTGTCGGAGTCTTTTTTTAGAGGAGTATACCCAATATTTGTCATTTATTGTCTCAACATCGATAGGAAAAATCAATCTGACTAATTAGTGAGGGAGTAACTCGTATAGCAACGTCTGTGTATACAATACTGATTTGCTCAGTACATGTTAATGCGTTATTATATTATGTATATATATATCATTGTTTTATACTGTTATATTTTGTGTGATTATTAATAGATTTTGCTATATTTAATACTCTTTAATGGGACCGTCAAAAAGTACAAGCGAACATCAATTTAAACTGGTTAAACTTTCGTTAAATAAATGTCAATATCTGATATTAAGCAGACTATAACATATATAGCAAAATTACTTGACCCTCCAAAGTTAATATTGCGGAAAAAGATGAATTTTTAGCTTTATTTTTAAGGCGGAAATGATGCTTGTGACTGTAGCAGATAGCTGTTGTGATGGATAGCGGGATCGGCTTTATTAGAAAAGTTGAAAATATATTCCGCCGACTTTGAAGTTGTTAACTCGATTGAACATCAGGAAACGCCTGTTATGATAAATAACTAAATAAAGTTTTAATCAAAGTGTATTAATATAAACCTTTGTGAGCTTTGGGTTGTCGTGGTTTTTTTACAGTTGTTTTAAGCAAAAATGGTCACTCATAGTAAATATTTATAATAAGAGGAATAACTAGAATGGAAAGCTGAAATAAAAATACAATTTTTGCTTAAATAAGAAGCAACTGACCATAAAATAGGGAGGCTTGTTTATATAAATTATGCGACAAAAAGAAATCATAAATATTGAAAAGAAGCAATTAAAATGTAGCTTTTCTAAAGAAAATTATAATCTGCAAGGGAAAAAAAATTAGGTTGAGTAGTACTTTTATTAACTAGCTTTACAATAAAAACTGGATATCTCCGCTAACTTTATTAGTAACTCATAAAACTAAATTGATTTTTGCCATCAATAGAAAAAATAGATTCTCTGAGTTTTCTCTTTGTTTTCTCTTCTTATGTCTTTAATTAATGCAGAGGGATCTTTAAAATGTGCTTTGAAAAGTTTTAACCTCAATTTTTGTTTTTTATTGCAATAAGAATAACGGAATCCAAAGCATAGGAAAAGCCTTTTTGTTAATTTGTTAGCCACGTGCGTCCATTAATAGTATGCCGTATATATTAATAGAGATAGCATACCATTGTAGGAGAGGATTTAATTTTTTGTGCTCTTTGCCCCCTGGTTGGAGCGTGTTGTGTTGCAGATGGACAGCAATTACCGTGCTGTGTATATTTTGTCTAATAAATTTATTTTATACATTTTATTCCTACCTTGGGTATAATATATCTACGCTTTTATAGCCATTATCCGCGAGAGTGCCATTTTAGGAATAACAAATTAGTTATTTTGGTTTATTAAACAACAGGTTCTTGGTTTGTCTACCTTTAGGGCCACGGAAAGTAACTGTGATAGGAAAAGTAATACTATTGAGAAAGGAGCAGCGACCCATTCTTTTTAATTTGAAAACTTAATTTAGAGACAGCATTAGCTTACTGAGAAATAAAACAACTCTGGAATTAGCTTAAAAAATTCTTTTAACAAAAGTTATGCAAAGTTATTAAATATTTTTTATTAAAGAACATAAAAAACACAAGGAATGGAGCGGTCATTATATAATTTCTACTATAGCAAGTAAAAGTTATTAAGAGTGAGGGTTAAGTACTTTAAAATATTAAAAAAAAATCCTTACACACAAACTTTAAGTTGTTTTTTTTCAAAAAGCTTCCTAAACCTTGGGCAACGCTCTGTACTTGGTTGTTCAGGAATTTAAGAGCACTCAGATTTAACTACAACTTATAAGAAAGCCATTTAAATTAGCCCGATACACAGTCCTTACATGTAAGTATTATTACAGTTTTATATTGTTAAATAAAAGAAACAGGGTGTAACCAAAATAAAAAAGCTTTTTATTTTAAGGGAAAGGAATAAATCTTTATTTATCTGTTAGTTAGTAACTTAAAAAAGAGGCCGCATTTATTAAATGTTGTTCGCGTAGTCTATAGGAAAATTACTCAAACTAATTTAATTTTAATTTTGGCTGTTGGCTTTCATTTTTATCTAAAATTGGTTAGTTAATACTTTAAATCCTAATGCCTTAACTTTTTGAAGCTTTTTTTTGGTTTATTTCGCAAACAGTTTTTAAAATTACTTACTAGGTTATACAAAGTAAACTTATTTACGTATAACCACTAGACATACATTACGGACTTTTTGTCGTTTAATTATTTGATAGTCTTTTAATTATTAACTTCTTTATAATGTCTTTCCTGACTGTTGCGAGGCTTGAACTACAACATAAGCAGAAGCATTTATGTAATATATAAAGCCAGCTCTAAAAAAGTACGTTCCTCTAAACCACAACGTTTCTATGTTAGCAGCACCAGCCTTGATCCTTCCCGGCAGAATCAACAAAATAATTTAATGCCGAATAGTCAATTTTTTAAAGAATCGGGGCCCATTAAGGTATATGGGCCCCAAAGCTCTTAAATTTCTAAAGTTAAAAAAAAAACCGCCATTCTACTTTTTTTTTAACGTGCTTCTGGTTTCACTTGCTTTAGCCCTTCTCTTGCTCCTCTCTTATCTCCAACGTTTAGCCGTAAACAAAAGGGGCGTAACGCGTGCATTTAGGATATTATTTAAAAAGGATGGATGTACCGGTAGAAACTATAGAAAAAGCATGCAAAGGTTGCTCAGCCACCGTCTTTATTATCTTGAAGCAATTTTTCATATAAATCTTCCTTTTTTCATTAATAGATATACTGAAAGAAATAGACATTGACACGGTTTCGGTCGGTACTTTTCGCTCTAAAATAGAGGAAACTTTAAATATAAAAATTCCTGTAGAGCAAAAGCATCAGATAACTGAGATCATAACGAGGGTTATAGTAAGCTTTTAATATGGAGTTTTATTTTTATAAGCGATATTCTATTTGGCAAAATTAATTATTGTTTATGGATTATTTAAGTATTACTAGTTATTTATAATTTTTTTACAAGCAAACGACGCAAGCAGGCGCAGAAGGCCTAGAGAGCGGAAACTCCGCTATTGAAAGTGATTCTGACTCTATTTCAAAGGTAAATTCAAAGGTAAACAGCTTCAGTTTTTTTTATCAGTTGAACTTAAAACGACGGTTAATGATTTTTTACTATAACTTGATTTAATAATTATTTTTTTTGTAAAATTTTCTTAATAATTGAGAGAAAAATTTTACAAATTAATTCAAGTAAAGAATATGCCATCTTTAAAAAAAAGAATGATAAAAAATTCAGGCTGCCTGAGATTATAAAAAGTTATAATTTAATTCCGTTAGTGCTTTGGCTGTTAATTTTTAACTTGTTTGAGATTCCTATTAAAATTTTTATAATTAACTTAACTGAGTATTCAACGTAGATTCCTAAAATCAAATCGGCTAAAAGAAAAGATGCTTCCAATAATAAAAGGTATTTTATAATTTATAAGAATGATTTATAATTTAATTAAAATTTGAACTTTACTAAAGTCAAAAGAAATCTGCCAAGCCGAATAAAAAGCCGAAGAAGGAAGATGTAGAAAAGAAACCTCGTAAGCCCGGCCCTCCCGTACTCGTTTCAGATTCTTTAAAAGCAGTTATTGGAGTGGACGAAGTATTTCTTTTATAATTCACAAATAAATTTTTAAAGTTTTTTAAGCTTTATAAAATTTAATTATTTATAAATTAAATTTCGTAGTGCCCCCGAACTGAAGTAATCAAAAGGATTTGGCAGTATATAAAAGAAAATAACCGTCAGGATCCAGAAAATAAAAAATTTATAATTTCGGATTATGTTAGAATCACATAATAACTTATTTTTCGGGTTTTATAATAATTTTAAGTAGAAATTAAAAAAAGTTTTTGATGGGAAGGATCGCATTGATATGCTTTCTGTGGCAAGGCACGTTAATAAGCACGTTACCAAGAAAGAATGATTGGCTTCTCTTGAATGAAGTTACATTTTTTTAAAAATAAATAAAAGATTTAAATGGTTGACCTTTAATTAATGTATTGGAAATTTCCTTATTAGAAAAAAAATTTATTTGTAATTTTAATTTTTATATAGTAATACATTATTCTATTTGAATAATTTTTAAACAGTAGCGCTTGTAATTTAATTTTTTAGATTTGAGCCTGAAAGTAATTGAGTTGATTAAATTAATGCTGTTGAATCATAAATTATTATTCTGATATTTTATTCGTTTACGAAATTTGCTATAAGAAATTAAATTTAAAAATTATACAAGCAATTTTAAATTCAGTAAAAGATATGCACTAGAAATAAAACAAATAATTTAAATGATTTTTTTTAGGTTCAATTTTATTTATTTAAAAATGCATAAAAATATAAAAAAGTAAACTATTTTTAATTATTATTAAGAATTTTTTTATTTAATTAGAATTTTCCTTAAGTATTAACTACGTAAAAAAAAGTTATTCTTAGGAATTTAAATTATTAAATAAAATACAAATTCAAGCAATTTCAATTTTTATAGTCCATAATTTTAAAGTTTATTTAAGAGATTGACGAATAGTTAAAATTTTATATATATTTATTAAGTCTTTTTTTAAAATAAGAGGAGAACTTTTTTCTGAAAATAACCTAATATAATTTTAATTAGTTGGATAACGAAAAAGAATTCGGTTAAGCAAAGATGGTTATTCGCGGGTTTTAGTTAAAAAGTGCTAAGTATTTAAATTATGAATTCAAATCTAAATTATTCTCAGTTTTTATTAGTTATTAAAAAAATTAAATCAATTGATCAATTTTTCATAAGTAGGTAACCAGGAAGTTTTGTTTAGTTACAATTTTTTTTAAATAATTTATTTTTATAAGTCCAATTTAATTACAATTTTCTTCAAGTTGCTTAAGTAAATTTTGCAATCATGAATAAATTTTTTATAACACTATTATTAGTTTTTTATTATTCATTAACAAAGCGAGATTGAACAAATTATTTTTGTTTATATTTTATAACTTTTCAAAATGTTTATTAAATTTATGCAATTATTTTTTCTTATTAGTTATTATTGACAATATCATCATTCGTAAATACTAAAAACTGAGTAGCTCTTCAGTAAATATAAATTTCATAAAAAAATTATTGTATTGTTAAACTAAAAGTTTTTAAATCATTTTAGTTATCATTTTGTATATTATAATTTTTTAATAACTTTCTTTATACTAAAAATGATAAAATTATGTTTGTTTTGTTAATAGATTTTAAAAATACTAAAACTAATAAAATTTATATTTACTTATAAAAGTTATTAATTATAAAAAAAATTTATAATTTTATATTAATAATTTCTGATCCAATTTAGTTTTATTATTTTTATATAATTTGTTTACAATTCTTTTATTACATTTCTTAATATTGACAAATGATTTATAATTTTATATTACAATTTCTGTTTCATTTTGATTCTATGATTTTTATAATTAACTATAAATTTAATAAATTTTAAATTCTAAAATACTAAAAGTTATATTTTATTTATAAAAGTGATTAAAAACTTTTTATAAAGCACCTATGATGACGAGAATTGGATCAGAAATTTCAGCACATCTAATCATTTTCAAATAAACTATTACTTAAATTTACGAACTTTTTAGTTGAGTAGCGACTTTTAAATGTATTAATTAACATAAATTATTAATTTACTAAAATTGTTTTTAAAAACAATTTTAGTAAAAACAAAACAGAAAAGAGGCGAAGTAATTTTTTTTTTAATTATTTAAAAAAACTCTAAATATAAAAATTTGCAATAGAAAATTCTTTAAGGCGATATGAAAATTTAATTTAGTTTTATTTAAATTTTAAACTTTTGCTATTAAAAATTACCTAATCTAAAATGTTATCAATGTTTTTATTTTAAAAATTAACTTCTCTGAAAAGGTAAGATTTCCTTTTTCATCTAGATTTAAATTAACTGTTTAAAATGAAGTATATTGATATTAAGCTGAATTTTTTTATGTAAATTTTAAATAAAATAAAAAGATCAAAATTTTTATATAATATTTGCAATTGAGATCTCGTTTATTTTATAAATAAAATCTTATATTTTTAGTTAACCTTGTAAAATTTTCTTTTTATTGCAATAGTAATCTCGTTTAATATCAAAATTAAACTAAAAAATTTTCAACTTTTCCAAACTTTATTATAATTTCTTTTTTTGTCTAAATTTTTTGCAACAATAATGCTTCAATCTCAAAAATCAATCCTTTTTTTATAAAAAACTTTATTCAGTTTCTATTAATAAATTATATATGTATATATATCGAAGATTATTTGTATAAAAAAAATCTCGTTATTTCTCTAATCAAAATTAATTTTTATAATTTTTTTCTTAAACTTAATAAAAATTTTCTATTATAGATTCCATGAAATACATATAAATTAGTTTAGACTTTCCATTAATTCAATGTTTAGCACTTTTTATAAAGCTTTATTAATTAAGGCTTTATTACAATAATTTTACTAAACAATTTAATAAAGCTTCATAAATTTTTAAAAAAAATTTAAAAAAAATTATTGTATAAATTAAAAAAACTGATAACTTTTATAAAATAAACTTTTAAACTTTTAAAACTTCTTTTTAAAAGTTAAAAGTTTTATAAAAAAATTAAAAAATAAATTTTTCAGTTCGACAAATCCTTGAGATTTTTTAATTTTATTAATCTAGACGAATTTAACTTTTTTTAAAAATATAATCGTAATTACAATCTAAAATCTCTAAGTTAATTTACATTATTAAAAATTTGATTTTTTATTTTTGTAGAATAAATTTATTTTTTAATACTAATTAATAATTATCTATTAATTAAAAAAAATTTAAAGTAAACTTCAGTAATATAAATAAATTTCAAAATAAAAAAAACTGAAAGATTTTCTAATCTTTATTTTATTTAATAATTATGTTTCTTAAAAGTTTGGAAATTTAGTAAAATTGTATTAATTTTTAGTTATAGATAATCAATCGTCCCATTCAATAGGAAATTTAGTAACAAACGGAATATCAGCTTGTATGTTTCGGTGAATCTAATTTAAATTTATAAAAAGAGAATTCAATAATTTAAAAAAAATTAATAAAATCTAAAAATAAGTTTTGAAAATTATAATATTATATAAAGATATATAACATAAAGAAATTTAAAATAAAGTATTAAAATCTAATCAATAGATTTATAATGGAATAGTCAATTAGAATTATGTAGAGAAATTAGATTTAGTTACTTTCAATGAAAGAAAAACTGGGATGAAGTTGTAGATTTATAGATAAATTTGAAAATTATAATCATATTGAGGGTTATAATTAAATAATTAAGTAAAAATACATACAGAACTTAGAGATTAATTATAATTTTAATTGAAATTAAAAAAAGTTATGTAATTAATATAATTTATATAAATATTTTATAAAAAGATAAAATAGCTTATAAAAAAATTTAGAAATTTCTTATTAGAATAATACCGAAATATAATATTAACACTACCTTCAAAATAGAACAATTTAAAAGTTGACGAAGTATAAATTTAGTAAACGTAAATTTTAATTAAATTTACACTCAAAATTTAGTAGAATGGACTTTTATATTTATTTTTACTTTTGCAAAAAAAAAATTTTAAAAAAATCAAAAAAATTGAATTAAAATAATTATTCCATTAACGGAATCAAAAAGATGCAATAAAATCTTTTGACATAAAAAAAACTACAATTTAACAAAAATTAAATTACAAAAAAAGTTTATACTTAAAAATTATAAACTTTTTTATGGCATTAAAAAGCTTTTAGAAGTTAATACTATACAATATTGAATTAAGAATAATTTTTGTTGATTATTGATGGTAAAACTACTAATTTAGTATGCAACTATTTTAGTTAAATTTGTAATGATTCAATAAAATATAAAAACAATTATAATGAAAGATTTTATAAATCTAAATTTTATTTAAAATCTACGATAGCTCGAATTTAGTGAGTAAAAATTTATTTTTTTAAAAAGAATTTTTATTAAAATAAAAATCAAACTTATTTCTAAAAGCTAATTTAAATTTTGTTCACAACCAAAATATATTCCCTTTAATTCTTCTACGCCAAAAAAGCAAAATTATATAAGCAAATTTTATTAGTTAATTTTTGTAAAAAAAAAAAATTAAAATAATTAATAATTTGTATACAAATTTAAATTAAATTAAAAATATTTTGTAAATCTCGAAAAAAATATTAATAATGAGTAAAAGTACACCATCTTTAAATATTAAAATAAGCTTAATTTAAAGTAAACACTTTTTCGTAATCGGGAACGGATGGAGGATTTTCTGCAAATTCTGGATTTTCGCTGTACGAGTGATTCACATAATAACCAACTCGAACGAAAGTTTGACCTGACATTAAATAATTTAATTATTTTTTTTAAAAAAAAGGTAAAAAAATTTCTAAGCTCAGAGTATGCATAAAAGGATATATAATATTTATAAATGAAAGTTAAACTGTAAATTTACAAACAATAATAGTAATAAGTAATACTGTAAATTAATAAAAATTTAAAAAAAATTTAAATTTATATAAATTATTTTTTAATATAATAAATATAAATAGTTTAACGTCAAAGGAATTAATTAAATAATTTTAAACAAGTATCATTTAGAAATTAAGAAATTATACATTCTATATCGACTTTTATTTATAGATTTTCTTTCCGCTGTTTATAAATAAAGTATGAAATGAAGTATTTTTTAATCGGAAACATTACTTTTTACTGTATACTAAAATTTAAGGCCAACAAAACTAGAATATTTTATAAAAAATTAAAACTTTTACAAAGCCTATGTTGAAGTTAAATAAGGGCTGGATGCCTTATAAATCCCTTTAATTTCTAATAAATTAATATTTTGTAAGAGTTATAAAAAGGTTAAAACTTAGGTAGATATTAAATCTGAATAAAAGCCGGATGCCTTTTAAATCCCTTTAATCGC